AAGCAAGCCACCGCAAGACGGGGGGGCTGAGAGGGGAAAATGGTAAAACAAAATCGGATCCTGAAGTAGAGGGGAGCGGGGAGAGGAGGGAGGGGGCAGTCCTCCCGAAGCTCAAAACCTCAAGAATCGCCCTTTAAAAAAAAAAAAAAAAATCCAAGACCCTCAAGGGGTCCGGGGGGCGTTGCCCGCCCCGCGCCCAGGAGGGAAACCACTTCCTTTCGCCTCTCCCCATTCCGACGGGGATTACACAAGTGTCCTTTTTCGCCGTCCGGACCGCCCGCGTCTTCCCTTTATATAGTGAGCCAACGAGCTGCGCGAGCCGCCGCCGCCGCCGCTGCCGACGAGAGACAGGGCGGAGGGGAGGGAGGGGCGGAAAAGGGCGGGGGGCTGCAGGGGGCGGGGCCGAGCGCGAGACACCGCGAGAGCCGCTCGTCACGCGCGCGGAGGGCGCTGGGCGGGCGGAGTCGGGGACTGGAGGAGGGAAGCCGGTCCGTCGCATCGCCAGGCTCGTGGTCACGTGGTTGGCGCCCAGGCGGAAGTCTCCGGCAGCTCTTTTCGTTGTGAGGAGCTTGCAGACAAACCACTCCTGGAAAAAGCGTGAATACTGGTGACACTCGAGCTCAGCGCCGCTGGGACCACCTCCTGTGGGGCGTTTCTGCTCCTCCCCGCCGCGGAGGAACGGGTTGATGTGGAAGGGGCGGTGGCGGCTGCCGGGGTGGGAATGGCTGCGCTGGGCGGGTCACGTGGCCCCGCTTCCGGGCCCGGGCCGGGCGCGCTGGGACTGCGGGCAGAGTTTTAAATGCGGAGTCATCTCCAAGGCTGTGAGTTGGCTCGGACTCAGCGCTACGGCGTTGGCGCGTCTCGCACAGCGTGGGCCTTGCGCTTGCAACATTGTGTACGTGTTCCTAAATACGATGGGAGCTGATGTGGGCCCGCCGCTCACACGGTCCAGAATTGAACGTTCTGAAATCGGCGTAGTAGTGTGTCGCCACCGGGACAGCTTAAAAAGTCTCTGGGTTTAAGTTTCCCCAAGGAAGCAAACCAAGCACCCACTACGGGATTATGACAGAAGGGTAATTCTCTGGTTGTTGTTTTTTTTAATATATTGCCGAAATTCTGTGACTGCACATGGCCAGCATGTACTAATGTCTGAAATACTTGCCCCAACGCACCAACTCATGTGGCCTGTCGCTGCGAGAGAGCTGGCAGAAAGCGTCCAAATTAGAGTGCTGACCTGTGCCTAAGCTAAATCCCACCTTTCTGTCCACATTTTACACAGAGAATGCTCTGTGTAGATTAGAAGGTACAATTCACAGTACCTAATTTTCGAGAGACATGGAATGTAGTCTGGACGAGTGAGGGAGTTGATCCTCAAAGGGCAAAGCAAAAGAAAATGTCAAACTTTTATGCCGCTGAAACCAGATTTGAAGAATACCTGACATCCTACTAGACTAGAGAGAGAAACAGATGCAACCTGCCAGGACATGAAGGAAGAGATTAGAGAAAGCAGAGGCCAGTAATACTCAGAAAATGGGAAGCTGTGGATAGGTCTGTGAATAGGTATAAAGAATATCTATTAACCTTGGGATTCCTGTTAAGGCCATATGATCCTCCATTCAAC